AACAACTCAGTTCTCCCTTGAATAGGCCCCTATATATATATATATATATATAATGTACATAATTCGGTTATTTTCGTAAGATACGTGAGACACGATTTTTATACATGAAATTTCACAACAAAATGTTGTGAATGTAAAAATAGTTGAATCTTTACAACAAAAACTGTGAAGATTACCTTCACAGTGTTCTGTTGTGAAGTTTCAAGTGTAAAAATCTATCTCACGTGTCTCACGAAAACAATCTTGTCTCACATAATCCCAGTCTAATTTAGTTTATGTCTTTGTTTGAAAAAATTTAATTCAAAAATTAAGATTCAATCAAATCATTCTAAAAATCAAAAACCAAATTCAAATTGGTTTGGTATTCGGTTTTATTGGTTCCAAACTATAAATTGAAGCCATAACAATGATATACAAATCGAATCAGATGATTATACGAATAAATCAAGAAATCTTGAATTAATTCAACAAGAACAATCATGCATATTCCGATCAATAATTAACTGATATGACCACTCATACGTTGTTTGGAGGTTTGTAGACTTGAAACAAAAACCAATAACTGGAATATAACTATCAAAATAATATAATACAAAATAATAACACAAACTACACTGTCTCTGTTCGTTTTCAGTTAGTTAAGTTTAGTATAAGATCGATGAATGTTTTCTACAAATGTAACGAAATAAAATTTGAGATTGTAGTAATGTTTTTACCTGTTTGAATTTAACTAGTGTATTAGACATGTAGGGTAATAGGTGAAAACATTGATTTTTTTTTTATTAACCTGGATATCCAACTCGTTATACGAGCCGATTAATTCCAAAACGACCATTTATTTTGCAGATAGCCCGGAGTCACCGTATTTGAACCTCCTTAGCCACAAGGGGATTTTTTTTTATTTTTCATTGGATTTGAACCTGAGACCTCCTGGTACTTTCGACCTTTGGAGTCAAACTCAAACCAATCATGCGCCATCCTTGTGGTTAACCTCATGGAATTTTTAGTACATGGCAGATCAGATGGATTTGATTCGCCAATTTTTTTAGGGCAAAATGCATAAAATAGCAATCTACTTTCATAAATTTCTTTATTATAGCATTGTACTTACAGTTTTTCTTTTTACAGCAATGTACTTTCAAACTAATTTTTATTAGGACATTGTACTTTAAATTTTTTTACCCATTATAGCATTGGGTAACCTTTTGATTTAAATTTACCCATTATACTAGGTTCCCATGCCACCTCATTATCCACGTAGGCTGTCCACATGTACTATAATGATGTGACTTTCTTATTACATAATTGTACTTACAAAATTATTTTATTATAGCATCTATTAGTTCTTATTAAACACTGTATTTTTAATTTTAATATTTAGATATTTTACATGTTATTTAATAAATGTATTAAATGAATTAAAAAAATTCTAAATTGTTCATTAATATACCAATATCAATAAAACTAGTAGAACACAACTTATCTCGCTAACATTTTAAAAAAATATGTGTTTTTTGAAAAAAGAAAAATAAGAATTGTTCTTTTTTTACCAAAAATATTATCTTTTAAAGAATATATTATATTTATTTAAAAACTTTTTACTTGACGTATAAATATATTAAATTAATTAGACTTTTTTGAATTATTTATTAATATAACAATATTAAAAAATTGTAGATAATGTTAGGACTGAGAAATCAGTATTAATTGTATTCGTCTTGAAAGATTAACTTTAGTCTATAATTGTAAAAGTCAGCGTGTTTGACTTTCTTAGACTAGTTTGACTTTGACTTTGTTTAGAATGTTTGACCATATAAATAGGTTGGTAATCTTTGTAATAAGTAAGAAGAGGAGCTAATTGTAATATACATTCATAATTGAGAGTTTGACTGAGCTTATATGAGTTGACTTTTTCTCTCAAGTGTTCTTGATGTTCTTGATGATAAATCCATGAATCTGCCATTGATGTGAGCTTAATATGAAGATTGATCAGTAATTGTGGACACATAATTGGTATCAGAGCAGGATGCAAGAAATCAGATGAAGAAATCGATCAGATAAGTGAATTTTTTCTGATTTTTTTTGTTTTTCGTGTTCTTCGTGTTCTTGACATTTTCTTTGATTTTGATCCGATTTTTCCATAAAATCTTGTGTTTTGATGTTAAAAACATGATCAATATGTTCGAAATTGAATTGTGAATCTTTGTTATTCACAAATTTTTGTGATTTGATCAAAACAAATCAAGATTTAATCGATTTTTAGGTTTTTAAAATTTTTTCGTGTTCTTAAATTTTTTTCGTAAATCAGTGTTTTGATCCATTTTTTTTAAAATTTCTTTTAGTTTTTGTGTTTTTGATAGGTTTTAATCTGTTTTTGTGTTTTAATTTGTTTGTTTTTTTTAAACCGCCCAATTCTTTAAGCCCATATCCAAGGCCCATCTTTTGACCGGTATCATTTCCTTCAATTGATTTCAATTCTCTAAATCACTTGACCGCATACAACTTCAATTGATTTCAAGTCCAAGGATAAACCGCAGGATCTTTGACCGGATTGTTCACCGGTTGATTCTTCAATCGATTTCGAGACTAAGGGTAAACCGATCATCTCTTGACCGGATATCTTGAGCGGTGTTCATCTACACCGCACACTACTTAAGCGGTGTTCATCCATACCGTAGA